TAAATTGATTCGTTAAATTAGTTTGTGTACGTTGTTGTACTTGGAAGTTTGGTTTTAGAATATATGATTGTTGGTAGTTTTGTGGTCTTTGAAAACCTTGTTGAAAGCTTTGACTTTGGTTTTGATTTCCAATGGGTCTTATTGAATTTTTGCTTTGCATATAATTTCTTTGAAAATTATTTTGGGTATTTGCCATTTGTCTTGGTCTATTCTGACTTTGATTTGGGGGTAAACGTGTATTTAATCTTTGATTTCCAAAGTATGAGAGCTGTATCTCACGTTTCATTCTGATTGATGCTTCTAACATCGTTGTTGGGTTACTTGCTCATATAATGTGGCCTAGTTTGGGTTCTAATCCTGTCAATAACGTATTTAATATCATTGACTCGATTAGTACTGAATGTGCAATTTTTTGTTCGTGAGTCAAGTTTGAGGCTTGAATGCAAGATAACATTTTTGCATTATGACTTTGTAGTCTTGAGAAAAATGTCAGTGCATTTTCTCCATTTCCTTGTTTTATTCTCTGAAGGTCTTGAATTAGTGACGTTAGATCTCGCGTATCACCAAAGTGAGAATTTAATAAATCTCTGATCTCTTGATAAGTTCCTGGGTTTCTGGAATTTATCAATTGAGCAGCTTTTCCTCTATTTCTAATGTGAATTGTGAGTAAAGTTATTTGTTGATCTACGGCCATACGTTCGGCATGATCGCAAGCATTTATGAAATTTCCTAGCGAAATTGAATCACCATCATTTTCGGGAACAATTGAAAATATTTCAGAAAGTTTGTAGGGTTCAATTGGATCAAAAACAATTTTTTAATAACAAAAGTAGGAACATTATGTGCTCGTAAATTCATTTTTGAAATCACAGAAAGATCTGGTAGTATAACTTGCATTAATCAAATGATGACAAGTGCCAGGGTTCTTCATCGGATTCTTCATCTCCTTCTGCTTCCGATTTTTCAAAGTTAGAAACTTCAGGTTTGGAATCAGCAGGTAATAATAGCATTATGTATTGTTTCTTTCGAGAATGGCTGCAATTGGTAGGTTTTGGCCTAAGACTCGATAACAACGGATAAGAGAAAAGCAAAACCGATACAGAATATCAAAGTTGCAGTTTGTCCTGGAAAATGTTTATTCTTGGCTTCAGCAGCTTCTTCTGAATGCAAGCCAATTGGTAATAATGCTTTATCTATGACTTTTGCGCCATGGATCAAAATATTATGCATTGTTTGTGTCATGGGATGCCAAGGGATAACGCTATTTTGACATTTAAGTCATTGGAGTGCATACAGGTTGCCTCGCATATATAACACCTCATTGTTGAAGAAGTTTGAGTAGCAGCATTCCACACCTTAGCATCTACCATAGTTAGTTTCATTGTGTGCTTTACACTGGCTATCACACCTTCCTGTGTGAATTGGGTGTTTTGTAAATTATCAATTTTTGATGTTGTATAATTAAATTCATGATTTGTTATATCTGTTTCTTTGACAAATATCATTCTTATGGGACGGCAAAATCGGGGTGACGGCGGGGTCGGGTTTTACAGATGATTTTTACCCTACAACAAACTACTTGTAGAGGAACTAAGCAACTTTGGAAGATATTAGCATCTGTAGTTTCTTCGTTTTGCATTTTTTTGCTTGAACTGTGATTGCCGAGAACCATCATAACCCCACTTGTATATAAGCTCTAATGAATCAAATTCTCCTTGAGTCAATGTGGTAAGGATTTCTACTAAATATGTCAATAATCGACTAACTGTGTGATTCAACAAACCTTGCAAATTTACTTCTGCACATATTTCATTTACTGTAAATGACTCTTGTGGAGGGTAACACTTTTTTTCTCTCTTTGTAGAATGCTATAACTGGGGTAAAACTTTTCGTTCGAATTTCGTATTGTTTTCTTGAAAGCTTTGCTTCCACAAATATCGTCAATGCTGTTAGAGGAGTTAGCTGAACATTTTTGGCTATGAGGATGTGGAATATGCTTTCCTGTATTTCCTAGCTCGTTTCGGAGACTTTGTAATTTCAGAAAGCATATGTGACACATTTCTATCACCATATGTATGTGGTAATGATGACCTCGCAGCATGTAAGAGTACTTCCTGCTTAACAGATCTCCGTATTTCATTTGTTTTTCTTCTCTTGCTTCTGTCAGATAGCTCACAAAATGGTTTTGTTGGACGACCGACACGTTTTTGCAATGACACCTTTGGCATTTCAAAAGTTCCTTGCAGCCATGCAGTATTACTGACTAGAAATTTGTTTGCTGTTCTATTTGCCTTCAACCATCCTTTTTGAAATTCTCACTTCAAATATGAAATGTTATGTCTCAAATATTTCATTTGAACTTCACAAAAATTTTCAGATGATGGAAAGTCAGTTTCCAAATAACTAAATTTTTCTTCAATAGTAGGCAAGTTCTGTTGTTGCATTTCATCAAACAATTCTCTTCGAGTCACGACTCTGTAGTTCGAAGCACCAGGTATCCCTACACGAAGTACAAATCATGTTACCCACGAAATAATAAAAGTTGAGAAATTAGATATTTATTACTCGCCAATAAATTGTGGTGAGGTTGAAAAGAGGCAAAAAGTGGCACCTACTTAATATATCAGGATAATATTCTTAAACTAATCTATGATATACATTCAAAAATTTAGCTCGGAAGTACTCGTATGTATAACTTTCAGACTCATAAACATAAAAATATATTAAATGGTCTTTCGAAAAGAGTAGGTACATACTTTAAGCTGACATTTACACGAATCATCAAGCATACATCAATGCAAACCATTGCTGTTTTCTCCTTAGAAATTCACCAAATGTATTATTTACGTGAATATGCACCTCACAACTATTGCCAACAAGTCGAGAGTGCGTGCCACACAACGAAACGGTTGACTTTCGACTAACATTGTACACGATTGAGGTACTGAGTGGGGGCAGAAAAGCGTTGCCCAGAATCAACCCACTATCTGGCTCATAGTGGGTGGCTGAATTTGTTATCTGTGACAATTTTGAGATATTGGGCCTTTGACCGGGTGGAAAGGTGAAATACCCCTCGTTGTTAGTTGCGAAAACGGTAATAATAGAACAAATATGAAAAAATGCAAATTCAACATCATTTAGATATTCAAATAATTCTCAACTAGAGAAAATTATGATAAGCAGAATATAATCCTCTTGCTATGATTTGCACGTTGAAAGAAAAGACCTCGTCAATCCTTAGCTCGCAAGTTTCGACTTCTGAAGTTGTCGTTCGTACAAGGGCGACAGCTGGTTAACGGAGAAACAGATTTCAACAACAAATCCTCATTTGTTAACAATTGAAATTTTTGTATCTCAAAATCATCAAGATATAATTACTATACGTCATTATGAATCCAATGAGCTGTCACTCATATTTCTAATAGCTATAAGTATGTCTAATGGACACGAATTTAAACTTGAAAACTAGACTACCAACTGAATTGCTACTTTGCTCATTCAATAAGCTCTTCATTTACGCCGACAGTTTCTCTATATCCTTTTCAGTATTCCACTGAGTATTTAGGGGCGGCGGGCATGAATTGCTTCCCAATAATCTTTTCCTACCTTCGAAAACGGAAGGATAATGTAATTGATGAGTGTACAACCCTGAGTGTAAGACAGGGTTGTTTCACATACTTGTGAGGCACTATTTGGAACCTTTGGTGTAGTAATGAATATTACTGGAGCTGTTTCCAACACCAAACCGTTATTTTAACACCTCGACACGTGTTTCGATCACCGAGTGATCATCTTCAAGTGGAAGGTCAAACTTTTTACATGTTTAGTTTGTTCTAGTTATCCACAGCGTATTATGAAATATCATTTCTATGTCTTTGAAAATAGCCTATAATTTATTTAGTTTGAGTTACTTACTCTAGTTATTCTTTCCTTCCAGTTATATCATCATATTATAAAAAGTTGTTTCTTTTCTTTGTACTATGTTAGTTATTTCGATTTCATTCGTGCAGTTGCAAGAATCAATTATAATACTATTATCATTTCTGACGCAGTTCGGAATGAGTTCAGATACAGTGTAATTATTTAGAGCACATTTAACGAAAAGACATCATTTAGTACGTATCGATCAGAACTACTCTGGCCACCCTTTCTGAAATAAAGGTTCTATCTTTGGGCGTATTCTCAATTTTTACACAAATCAAATTGTTGAATTTTCATTTCATCTCAATGATATTGTTGGTGTATGTGACCGCGTCGATAAAAAAATCATAATCATAATCAAAGCATTTGTAGTATCATCTTCAAACCACGGCCTACAAATTAATGTCAATAAGTCGATAATTATATTTTTTACTCCATGAATAATAGGTATTTGATAAAAGGCCTGATACTAATTAAAATTGAGTAAAATAACTGGAAGTAGTTGACTGTGTCAAAAATCCAGCAGTTTTTATCGATGAGAATCTTCGTTTTGAAAACATGTAAATAATATGTTATCTATCGTTCTTCAAAACTCATTCTCAGTAATAAACAATATTTACATGTGAAATTGGATCAAAGCTATGCGAGAGCCTGATTTTTACTAGTTTTAACTTCGTAGATTGCCTATAAGGCCCAAATCTCATGGTTTCCATAAAAAACGATACAAAAAAATTTAAAATTCTTGTCTGAGGTTCATTTTCATTATTCGTAAATACAAAAGAATTAAATACCCATAATCTTCAAGTTATTAGCATTTATCAGATATCGAAAATATAAAATAAAATTGCTGACGGGGTGAAACCACCCGCAATAATTATGTAATGAACACGTTTTTTATTTTTTTATCGCTTTTCAATATATGACATATTATGAGGATGAGTGGAAAAACAGGTTAATCCCATAAGGTTAAAAGTTTCAGTGATCAGCTACCCAGTTTCGGGAGTTTTTTGCTTCATGTTCGAAAATTGAAAATGACATCTGATTTCATCCTAGGCCATTAAATAAGTAATTTTTTTCAGAATACCCTATCCTTTCATTCAAGCATCTCAATATCCATGTTCTGTTGTCATCAAACCCACTGTAGGCGATTTTCTCAAGTGAGTAATTATTATTTCGAAAACAAGTAACTAATTTTTTTCCTATAAAACCTAGCGTACATGAATTTATGAGTGTCGAATTGTAAGTATGAGTTATGAGTGTTGAAAACAACGCTTCATACCAATTTTTGAACACATTCAAATATAATAACATAGGTGAAAGCAATATTACTGGAGTTCTTTCCCCAACACCAAATCGTTATTTTTAACACCTCGACACGTGTTTCGATCACCAAGTAATCATCTTCAAAGAGGAAGATAAAACTAGAAACTAACGCGAAACTAACGATATTTATGCTATATTGTTATCCCATACAGGTAAACCATCCATCCATCCATACAGGTATACCAACCTAAATTAATTTTACAATTTTGCCTTATCTATTATTTCACAATATATGTTTAACTGTTATAGCTGTATATAAAACAATTTTCAGCTATATAAAAATTAATTTCACAATATTGCCTATCTAAATTTATTTTTGCAATGTGTCCTTATGTAGTAATCAGTAAACCCAACAACATTATTTTAACAAGCTATATAGTATGCTCTTTGGTATAGGTCCGTCATCGTTATTCATAATATTATTGTGTTTACTTATTTCTACACACTCATAGGGATCTAGTTACCTGTTGTTGTTAACTTGTCTAACTAATCTTAATGAACTGAAGTCTACGGAATGGTTTTGTTGCAAAATATGATGGGCGACTGCTGATTTTTCAGGTCTTTCATATTTTAAGTGTGCTATGTGTTCTTTATATCTTACTTTAATAGATCTTTTTGTCTGTCCATAATATTTTGCATCTCAGTCCTTAAATTCAATTTCGTAAATTCCAGACTTCCGAATTATCGACTTGGTCTTTTGGACTTCTCAAAAGGTTCTGTAGTATATGATTTGTTTTAAAAACCACCTTCATACCTAGTTCCTTGAAAATCTTTCCAAAGTTCTTCGTATATTGGTGGTATGGAACTGAGATGTATTTATCTTGGTTTTTATCCTTTCTGAAAGTCGAGATTTCGTTCATTCTTAACCTAAACTTCTTCTTCCTTATTATGTGTTCTACAATACCCCTCGAGAAACCGTTAGTGGCTGCTATTTCCTGTATTGTACGTCTTCCTTTTGTGAACCTATCATGTGTTGGAGGGAAAGTCAAAAGACGATGCACTGAAAAATTCAACCCAGCACGTTTGTGCTGTCCACAGTGATGTGAACTGTCAGGAATATACATGTACGTGCTTGTTTGTTTTCTAAATATATCGTATTCTAACCCTCCATATTGGCTCCTCATTACCAAAACGTCAAGAAATGGTAGTTGTCCCTTATTTTCTAACTCTTACGTGAATTTTATTGATGGACATCTATTATTTAAAATGGAAAAAAAGTCCTCGATATTCAATTTTATGGTATCGAATATCGCGAAAATATCATCCACATACCTTAGCCAAATCCTAGGAAAATACTTCGACTTTTCTTTGGTTTCCATTTCGAATCTGCTCATGAACAGGTCTGCTAGCAAGGGGGACAAGGGGTTTCCCATGGCCGTTCCTTCCTATTGTTCATAAAAGCAACCTTCCACCTGGAACCGATTTTGTTTCATGCACAAATTAATAGGGGAAACGAATTCATCGATTTCGTTATTATTGAAATCATTTTTTTCTAGTAATTTCCTGAGGTATTGCAAGGTCTGTGAAATTGGGACTCTAGGAGATAAGGAACTAACATAAAAAGAAACCAAAATCTCACCTTCTTGCAGACCCATGTTTTTTGTATGTTGTATGAACTCTAAAGAGCTTTTTATACTAAAACTTAGTTCCGCAATAGACAAGGTTTCAAATTCCTTAGTGAGCCACTTTGCTATTTGGTAGGTAGGAGCTCCAATAGCTGACACGATAGGGCGCATTGATTTTCCAAGTTTGTGGATTTTTGGGAGGCAATATAGTTTCGACACCGTTGGGTTGGAAACTTGTAACTTCCGTTTCAGTTGAGGGGTGAGTATGTTGTCGCATTTCTTGAGGACGTCTTTTACTTCGGCAATCATCTTTGGTAACGGGTTCTTGGACAATTTCGCATACGGTCCGTTAGTAATGAGAGTATTGACCCTTTCGTAATAGTCCGATTTATCCAGAATTGCTACTTTGTTACGTTTGTCGGCTTTCAAATAAAAATCGTCCTTGTCTTTTAATCGTTTGATAAGTTTCTTTTGGTTTTTATCGTTTTTTATTGAATGCTTCCGTTTATCTGTTATCTTGTTCTTGGAGATTCCATTCCTGACCTTTTCTCGAACTGTCCCTTCGAGGCTTGGAAATTCCATTCCTGACCTTTTCTCGAACTGTCCCTTCGAGGAATCGGGCATATATTGAATCGAACTTTCAACACTAGCAACGATATCCTCAAGAACTTTCTCGGAAGGTGGGATGCCAAATTTCAAACCATTGTTCAAAAGGTTGATCTCTTCCTTATCAAACGATTGTGATGAATGATTTTCAACAATATTTATGACTTTCGGAGTGGTTTCTTTCGATTTATGCTTAGATATAAGGGTTTTGAGTTTCTTATTCAGCGTACACATTTTTCTGATATATTTTGATTCAGTCATCCGAAACATTCCTCTTTGAAAGTCATTCCATTGTACGTAATCATTTTCGTCTAATCTATATGTTAGTTTTTTATATAGACTAACTATCTATCTTCTAACTATCTAATTCTAAAAAACTATGGTTAGTGTATGGTACGGTAGATGATCGATTTCCAAATGAAACCATTTTTCTTTGGCGAATTTTTGGACTTTGTCAGCAACTGAAGACTTAATAGCAATATTTACGTTACCAAAATTTTGAAAAACTGAATATCCTTCACAGCTCTTCAGAAACCAAATATCTGCTTGTATTAGCCTAATTTTAGTTGAATACTTCGATACAGATTCAGTTCCATTGACCTGGCCGTCATTATGTACTTATGATGCACTGTTTGGAACATTTGGTGTAGTAATGAATATTACTGGAGTTTTTTCCCAACACCAAATCGTTATTTTTAACACCTGGACACGTGTTTCGATCACCAAGTGATCATCTTTCTCTTTGAAGATGAGAAAAGGTCAAGAATCAAATCTCCAAGAACAAGATAACAGATAAACTAAAGCATTCAATAAAAAACGATAAAAACCAAAAGAAACTTATCAAACGATTAAAAAACAAGAACGTTATTTATTTAAAAGCCGACAAAGGTAAAAAAGTAGTAATTCTGGATAAATCGGACTACTATGATAGGGTCAATACTCTCATTACTAACGGACCGTATGCGAAATTGTCCAAAAACCCGTTACCAAAGATGATTGCCGAAGTAAAAGACGTCCTCAAGAAATGCGACAACATACTTACCCCTCAACTGAAACGGAAGTTACAAGTTTCCAACCCAACGGTGTCGAAACTATATTGCCTCCCAAAAATCCACAAACTTGGAAAATCAATGCGCCCTATCGTGTCAGCTATTGGAGCTCCTACCTACCAAATAGCAAAGTGGCTCACTAAGGAATTTGAAACCTTGTCTATTGCGGAACTAAGTTTTTGTATAAAAAACTCTTTAGAGTTCATACAACATACAAAAAACATGGTTCTGCAAGAAGGTGAGATTTTGGTTTCTTTTGATGTTAGTTTCTCATTTCCTAGCGTCCCAATTCCACAGACCTTGCAATATCTCAGGGAATTACTAGAGAAAAATGATTTCAATAATAACAAAATCGATGAATTCGTTTCTCTTACTAATTTGTGTATGAAACAAAATCGGTTCCAGGTAGAAGGTTGCTGTTATGAACAACAGGAAGAAACGGCCATTAGAAACCCCTTGTCCCCCTACCTAGCAGACCTGTTCATGAGCAGATTCGAAATGGAAACCAAAGAAAAGTCGAAGTATTTACCTAGGATTTAGCTAACGTATGTGGATGATATTTCCGCGATATTCGATATCAAAAAATCGAATATTAAGAACTTTGTTTCCATTTTAAATAATAGATGTCCATCAATAAAATTCACGTACGAGTTATAAAATAAGGGACAACTACCATTTCTTGACGTTTTGGTAATGAGGAGCCAATATGGAGGGTTAGAATACGATATATTCAGAAAAGAAACAAGCACGTACAGGTATATTCCTGACAGTTCACATCACTGTGGACAGCACAAACGTGCTGGGTTGAATATTTTAGTGCATCGTCTTTTGACTTTCCCCCTAAAACATGATAGGTTCACAAAAGAAAGACGTACAATACAGGAAATAGCAGCCACTAATGGTTTCTCGAGGGGTATTGTAGATGACATAATAAGGAAGAAGAAGTTTAGGTTAAGAATGAACGAAATCTCGACTTTCACAAAGGATAAAAACCAAGATAAATACATCTCTGTTCCATACCACCAATATACGAAAAACTTTGGAAAGATTTTCAAGGAACTAGGTATGAAGGTGGTTTTTAAAACAAGTCATGCACTTCAGAGCCTTTTGGGAAGTCCAAAAGACAAAGTCGAGAATTCGGAAAAGTCTGGAATTTATGAAATTGAATGTAAGGACTGCGATGCAAAATATTATGGACAGACAAAAAGATCTATTGAAGTAAGATATAAGGAACCAATAGGACACTTAAAATATGAAAGACCTGAAAAATCAGCAGTCGCCCATCATATTTTGCAACAAAACCATTCCATAGACTTCAGTTCATAAGATTAGTTAGACAAGTTAACAACAACAGGCAACTAGATGCCTATGAGAGTGTAGAAATAAGTAAACACAATAATATTATGAATAACGATGACGGACCTATACCAAAGAGCAAACTATATAGCTTGTTAAAATAATGTTGTTGGGTTTACTGATTACTACATAAGGACACTTTGCAAAAATAAATTTAGATAGGCAATATTGTAAAATTAATTTTTATATAGCTGAAAATTGTTTTATATACAGCTATAATAGTTGAACATATATTGTAAAATAATAGATAAGGCAAAATTGTTAAATTAATTTAGGTTGGTATACCTGTATGCGTGGTACACGTGGATGGTTTACCTGTATGGGATATCTATATAGCATAAATAGCATTAGCTTCACGTTAGTTTCTAGTTTTATCTTCCTCTTTGAAGATGATCACTTGGTGATCGAAACACGTGTCGAGGTGTTTAAAATAACGATTTGGTGTTGGTAAAAAAACTACAGTAATATTAATTACTACACCAACAGTTCCAAACAGTGCATCATAAGTATAGGTGAAAGCAATTGACATTTCATTAGTTCGGACTTCCATTGTCTAATATGATATACATTGATTTTGAATCCCTGAAAAAATCTGTAAAAATTAGAAAGATAAGCTGAAAAATAATAATTATGTTACGCAAAAAGAAACTGAAATTACAATGAAATACAAGCAACAACCAAAAAATCAAAAAAATGATCTATTAAAACGAGATGAAAATTAAAAAGTTATCACCCAGTTATCACCTGGAGACGATGTTATCACCCAGTTATCACCCGAAGACGATGTTATCACCCGAAGACGATGTTATCACCTGAAGACGATGTTATCACCCGAAGACGATTGTATATATTAACAAGTAACTTGGCTTGGAATCTTTTGATTTTCAATTTTCATTTCTTGTTGATGATTAATTTTTTTAATTTTCATCTCGTGTTAATAGTTTAATTTTTTTATTGTTGCTTGTATTTCATTGTAATTTCGGTTTTTTGTGTAATATAATTGTTATTTTTCAATATTACTGGAGTTTTTTCCCAACAACAAATCGTTATTTTTAACACCTTGACACGTGTTTCGATCACCAAGTGATCATCTTCAAAGAGAAAGATTAAAACTAAGAACTAGTGCGAGCTAATCCTATTTATGCTATAAAGGTAACCCATACAGGTAAACCATCCAGGCGTACCAACCATACATGTATACCAACCTAAATTGATTTTACAATTTTGCCTTATCTATTATTTTACAATATATGTTTATATAAAACAATTTTCAGCTATATTTTTTTATATAGCTGATTATATAACGATTTGGTGTTGAGAAAAAACTCCAGTAATATTCATTACTACACCAAAGGTTCCAAACAGTGCATCATAAGTTATTTTTCAGTTATTTTTTTGATGTTTATCATATCAGACAATGGAAGTCCGAACTAATGAAATGCACCACGAAACACCTTCAAACAAACAATTAACATTTCATAAGACAAAATTACTCGACTGATCCTTGATGTATGTGTAATAATCTAACTGTTCTGTGCAGTGACTATTTCAACTCCAAGGATCTTCATGTTGGAGTAACCACGTCTAGAGGAGATATTGTTGAATTTGACAAGAACGGTCTCAGATCTCACCAAAGCATTGAGTGGGGGCAATGTTTGCTATTGGATCAGGCTCCAAGATCGTGGAGCAATCACTGGAATACAATTTTGAAGAATGTCTGTGATCAGAAATGTTGGTGTCCTGAATCGTACAGAGAAGACTCGCATAATTGTTATAGTTTTGTTTTAACCTTCCTGAAAAATTTAGGATACGGTAGTTTGAGTAGTGCGGCGAACAGTAAAACTACCTTTTGTGAAAAATTCATCATTCCTCGAACAATATCTGCAGGGAAATATATTTCATTGTACAGAAAATTGAAAAAGACTGGAATCTATGTACATAAAAGTAAGAAATAACAGTGAATAGGAAGTACACAATTTTTCCAGAGAAATTGAATTTAAATTATTTAGACATGATTGTATTATTAGTGTATTCATGTCAATAACATATGTGTTTGACGAATATTGAATCTCCAATTTTGTTTAAATTATATCGAATTCATTGAGATTTCAATGACTGGAGATCACAGTAATTTTTACTTAAAATAATAGATGATTTATCTTTGGTACATTGTGGTACATTATGAATAAAATTTCTAGCTATCGGTCCGATACCTGGAAAAAAATTACTCAAGGTTGAAGGTCATAAAAACAAATTTTTCGCGTTTTATCATATAATTAGTTCATACAAAATTTGTAGTTCAGATGATTATCTACATTTTTTTCTAAGAGCCACCATTTCTGAGATATAAAGTTTTAAACAGTTGGTAGAATTGTAATCGTCATTACATGTTTCTCTTCTTCATCCTCGGTGCAAGTTAATCGCCTAAATAGTGATACATCGTATCAAACGAATCCTAAACTGTTGGTAATTCAACATTGGGACACGACAGGCCTTGACAATTTGAGCAGTGTGAAACTGGCTGCTAAAGTTAGCTGCCAAAATTTACGAATACTTCCGAACGTTCAGTAGCGTACGGAGTAAAGGTTATAATTGATACATTCATGTCATGAATAAACTTGGAGAAACTTCACATATACAGCAGAGTGTGAAATTTCACTCTCCTAAATGATATCAAATGATATTCATTTTGTAAACTAGAGATTGAATATATGTAGACTCGTCCAAATAAACACTTGGAAGGAGAAATGATTATCACTGATAATGTTTACCATGTTAACTGATTTCTTCAGTATATAATTCAGTTTATGAATAATCTGCACAAAATTTAGCAACGAAAATATACTGAGAATCATGAAATAACAATAGAAGAAAGCAACCACTCTGAAATAATCGCTTGGAAAATAGGTTTACAAGGTGAATGAAATTAATTGAGTTGACTGCTTTCTTACATATAATTCAATTTTTTATATACTCTGCACAAAATTTAGTAATGGAAATCGATAGAAAATCATAAAGTAACAATTGTAGAAAGCAACCATTGCGAAATAATCGCTTGCAAAATTGGTTCACAGGGTGGAAAAAATAATGAAGTTGATTAAATTTTTTCGTATACAATTCAGTTTTCCATATACTCCGCACAAAATTTAGTAACGAAAATGTATAGAGAATCATGAATTGAAATAGTAGAAAGTAATTAGTGTGAAATAATCGCTTGCAAAATTGGTTCACAGGATGGAAAATAATAATGAAGTTGATGAATTTTTTCGTATATAATTCAGTTTTTCATATATTCCGCACAAAATTTCGTAACGGAAATGTATAGAGAATCATGAATTAACAATAGTAGACAGTAATTAGTCTGAAATAATCGCTTGCAAAATTGGTTCACAGGGTGGAAAAAAATAACAAAGTTGACTAATTTTTTCCATATATAATTCATTTTTCATATACTCTGCACAAAATTTAGTATCAGATATCGATAGAAAATCATGGAATAACAATTTACAATATCTTTCAACTTGGATAATACGATTAATTTATTTGCGTGAGCCATCTCAAAAAGAAGTCGTTTAAAAACATATTTGGACTGAAATTCTTATAAATAAAGTATATTTCAATCGAGATCACAACAAAAAGAGGCAATAAATAAGAAAATAAAACACAAGTAAGAATGGACTGACCCATTACTTGATGAAAATTAATACCAGTATCCATGATAATAAATAAAACAATTTTCACTAACAATTTTAATAATCCTAGAGGCGTTTTGCTACCTCCATGTTACAACTTATACAGAAGCTTTCATTCAACAAATAGTTTTTCAGAGCATTTTTTAAACTATATATTGTTTTCCATCTTTTTATATCATTTGGAATTGAATAGAATACTCTGAGAACCATTACTATTGTAGTGGTATATTGATTTTGTGTTGTGAATATTCAATAAAATCACTATATTATACTGTTTGTGTACTTACACAGCGGTTTCAAATATGAATAGAAATGGTAAAATCAAAACTCTGAAGGTTTTGAAGTGGTATCTACACGATGTTCTATTAAAAATACCTGAGATAGCGTATGATGCGCTTGTGTGCTATGAACACGTCAGATGATGAACTGGATAATCCCCAAAACCGCACTCCGTATCGAAGTCTTCAGTATATCTGAGCGTAATATAATCTCATCAGTTGATCATTACTAAATATTGATATCAGATTCCTGATTAGATAAGAGAAAAACTTGAGTTTAGATATCAGCATTAGGCATGTTTATATGATATAAGAGCTTGTCTCGAGTTTTTTTATATATTTTTCTAGAATAACTCATGTCAAAATCAAGTTACATATTGTATTCTCATTTCTACATATGTAATGGAGGTGTTAAATGAAAAAATGTAATTTTTTATTCCTGTTTAATTATCGTTGGACATGTTATTTTCATGGTCGGTCCCTACAAACATACTATACTATCCCTCCCTTTTCCCGAATTAATAATCCTCAAAATTGGTTTGGCGTCAATCTTGTTTTCCGCTATTCTCAATTTTGTCTTTAAACTGTTCATTTGATATCAATATCATAAGGGTGCATAAAAAAAATCTAGTTTTGGGTGATACGGTGAGTGGTCCATGTTGGATGTATCTCAGATTATTCAAAATTTCAAGACAATCGGTTGAGGAAAAGTGTTTTATAATTCAGTTGCAAGATATTGCATTCCGTGTTCTGTGTGGAACTGTCAAATAAACATTAAAAATCAATTATCAATTCATTGTAGAGTTCCTGATGAAGAGCCAATAAATACTCGAAAGCTAGAACAGAAAAAATAGTTCACTTATTGTACCATCCCCTTGTTGACTGCATATCCGAAAATTATATTACCTGGTGCCCACTTAATGAGCCAGTCAAGTCAACTTTGTTATATTGGAAGTAGTCAGTTTCGATTTGCTTTCGACTGTTACCCATCATTTGTTGAAACTTACTCACACCCTCACCGTAACAATCTGAGCAGCCTATAATCACATAAGTGATAACTTCCATATTTTGAACTTTGAGTTTTTACCTTTGCACATTCAGAACTTGGAGGGTTACATACGAATGGTATAAAAGTGGGGTAGTAGCAGTTACGGGTTAAATATATGTCAAAGTCATCATTTCATTTTCCTTTCATGTTACATTGCAAGTTAAATAGAAGCTATTAATAAAAAGGGTATTATTGATAGATACTACACTTGTTTCCCCATCGAATCAATTGTCAATGTCTTCAACTATAAGTAATTCCAATGAGGCGCCTATCTCCCCTGAATACAATATATGACTTTTTTACTCATGTTGTTCTCATTGTTTTACTGAGAATACCCCTTCCCTTCAAATTTGCAGACGACTCGATGCCATCAACCTAAGATATCGGTTTTTCGAAACTTTTCAGATAGTGAATTTTGCATTGTGATTCACTCTAGAATTTATTTCTACAAAGCATTTCACTGGATAAGCTGTATCAGTTTATTTATCTGAATACCATTGTTTCAGTATTTTTCAGTACTCATAGACAGCGATTTCCAAAACTACTTTTGTTTCAATACTTTTTAGTACTCATACAGAGATAGGGACTCTCAAAACTATTTTTATGAATACTCAATTTCACATTTTCAATCATGGCAGGCAGAAATACAAATGATTGTTTTGAAAAGGATAGCGCAGGCTCTTTTAGCATTTGATTTGGATATATCCAATTCTGTTTTCAGTTTGAAGCCAAGTTATCCAATTTTTGTTTTCGTTTGTTCAAAAATAAAAATTAGAAAAATAAAATACTCGAGTCAAGTATATAGGCCAATTCATTATCGAAGAAATGAACTTGAGAAGTTATTAAAATCGGATACGAAAAGTGGCGACTACAGAAGTGATGNTGTTCAAAAATAAGAATCAGAAAACTAAAATACCCGAGTCAAGTATATAGACGAATTCATTATCAAAGAAATGAACTTGAGAAGTTAAATCGGATACAAAAAGTGGCGACTACAGAAGTGATGTCGCGAATAATGATGATAATGATAGTAATGGAAACAATAACAATAATATATGTGCATTTTGTATTTTAGACAATAAACCAATAACAAATTCAAATGTGACAAAAATAGATAATCTTCCTATAGAAGTTACATCGGATACAAAAAGTGACGACTACAGAAGTGATGTCGCGAATAATGGTAAATAACAATNTACCAAGGGGGCCGATAGGTTAGGTGGAGTACCAAGGGGGCCGAGGGGCGGAGTTCCACGCTAAAATCGCTACTATACTCGTTCCATCCTGCGTCGATTTCGATGACGCTGATAGGTTACCCCCACTCCCATTGCGCCAGAAGTCTCTTTGTTACACTACTATCATCGGCGTCAATGAATAAAAAACATGAAGTTACCCCTGAAATTTATCTCCATCCAGTAACAATGATGTACTTCCAGTAAACTCACATAACGTTGGAAATATACCGCTAAATACATTCAAGATGTGCAGTCTATTGGAGGGAAAATTTGAAATTGAAAGTGACGTTATGCAGTATCTTATTCGTGATAATAAATTAGTAACTGAATTTTACCCTTTTTATTTTCGGAACAGGCTCAATAAATATGTCAATAATATTTGTACTGTAGTAATGAAATATCCTATTATGAAAAAAATCTGAATGATCCATGAACCAGACACTTCAAGGTCACATCTCCTTGACTTCACTAAACAACAAAAAAAGCAATTAATACGTCATAGTGGTGAGGGGAGACTTGGAACCGGAAAAAAAATTCTGAACGATCCATGCACCAGACACTTCAAGGTCACATCACCTTGACTTCACTAAACAACAACAACAAAAAAAGCAATTAATACGTCATAGTGGTGGGGGGAGGCTTAGAACCGGCTCAAATCTCCTACTTTGATGTTTTGAAAATGCAAGAACATTCTGAATACTTGCAGCAAGTTTGCATGCTGTTCAATATAAAAATGTTTAGCTAAGAACAATTCCACGTTTTAGATAAGAGCGGGGTGGATAAATTACCAGTGATTTTTTTTGACGCTACAGGTGGCATAGTGAGAAAACTAACCCCTAAAACAAAGAGAGTTTATTTATACTGCGCAGTTTTACCAATAGTCACAGAAAGAATTTTTCCTGTTTTTGAAATGATCTCAGGTACCCATTTTACCAAATCTATTTTCTCTCTATTTTATGAATTTCGAGTATTTTGTGAAAAACATGATAAATGGCCTAGTTTTGGATCGGTCGTTACAGACAATAGTTTTGCTAATATTCATGCCATCTTGCAGGCTTGCAATAGATTAGAATTAATAGATTATTTGAGAATCACTTACGATATTGCGTTGGGAAAAGCTGATTTCAACAATAATTTCGTAACTTTGCATTTGTGTTGCGCCCATATCATTAAAAATTTCAGTAAAGATATAAATGAATGTTATGCTGTTAATGAAATGTGGATTTTTCAAAGACATATTGGGTAGCGTGATAAATATGGAATAAATATGGCTCCATGGTCGTGGTATTACTAAGTCCAACGTTAAACGATAATACAAAGTATAATTTTAACAAATTATTGAAAATTAAAGATTGTGGAATCCGTTCAGCTGATTTAGACAATAAAATCCAGGATAGTAATAATCATATCAAAAATAATTTAGAAGGACCTGATGAAAAATATGTCGGTTTGCACAAAAGAAGTATTTTCTATAAACATTTCAATAATATA